AACTAGAATTCCGCGTGATTATGGAAACTAGGGTTTTTTATTTTTTATTTTTTATTGTTCCCGAAAAAAATGAAACAAAAATCCTAATGCTTTTGTGGGAATTTTTTTGATGCCCCCACCCCCATTTTGTTGATTTCCCATAAACATGAACTATAATATAGTTTTGGGCAAATTTCTTTACCTATTGTGCTTTACTCCATGTGCAGTTTACTCCATAAGTAGATAACACTTTGGAGTTTATGCACTAAAGAGCACACCAATAGGCATTTCGTCTTAGTTAACGCAAGTGTAAATGCCAGGGCTTGAAAGGAATTATGTGTTCATTTCCAAATGTCTGGATAAACACCACACATGAAGTAAAGTGAATTTTGCCTCTTAAAAAATAACAAAAATGTCTCTGGTTTATATAATGAAGCTACTTATCTACAATGGTATTTTAGTTATTTTGCTTAAGCCATTAACGGACTTAACAATGGACCTTAGTTTACAAATTACACAGGATTATGTGTTTATTTTCAAATGACAACAGTTATGTGCACATGGGCCAAACCACAAGGGAGTAACTAAAGTGAAATTTGCCCTATAGTTTTTTTTTTTTGGGTTTAAAACCCTTTTGAGATCTCTTAATTTGTTGAAAATTGACTATGATTGGCACGACCACGTAGTGAAGAGTTTTTTTTGGGGGGGGTAGTGTTGAGTAAAGATCATTGCTAGAGGATATTGTTGTAATTTTCTTCTTTTTATAATAAATAAATAAATTTGTTAAGATTACATGATACAAAATTATTATTTATAAAAAAATTGTCATTTGTTTCTGTTTGTGTCCACCAAATAAATAAATAGATAAAGAAATGTGCTTAAAAGAACCAAACTTTCAAATACTAGATCAGGATTTTCATTCCTATCGGAACATATCTTATGGTAATCAGTTCTCCTGTCGAACAGTCCTAAATTGGCTAATGATATTAAGTTCTATTAGCCATTAGCTTCAATTGAGGTCTAAAAGTTTGCTTTATGAGTTTAATCATTATAAATAGATATACAAAGTGATATTCCCAATCAGAGTGACATTCTTGTTCTAAACAGATATACAAAGTGACATTCCCAATCAGATATACAGATCAACAATAAACAAATATACATTAATTATCTGTTTTGTAAACAGATAAACACAAAAATAACAGATCAATAATAAAACTGCCATTACAGATAAATAAATAAACAGATATACATTCCCAATCAGAGTGACATTCTGCTTCATGATAAATAATAGATCTGTTATTTATCAACTGATCAACAGATATATTAATGATTTGCTTGAATAATATATAAAATAAAGAGATCTATAAAATGAATATTAACGATCTGTTTATGAATATTAACGATCTATAAAATAAAATAATAGATCTGTTTATATTAATGATCTATTTATATTATATATAAATAATGATTTGTTTATAAATATATTACATATATAAAAAAATAATGATCTGTTTCAAATTCATAATAAATAAATATATTATATATATAAAAAATAATGATCTGTTTATATTAATGATCTGCTTCATTTCTGTTTCATTTCTGTTTATAAAAATAATCCTTCAAATTCATAATAAATAAATATATAAACAGATATTATATATATATATATAAATTAAATAAATTTAGAGGGAAAAAAAATAGAGGTTGAAGAAAAAATATATATGTAAACCCTAGATTGAGAGACAAGGGGAGGAAGGAGGGAGAGAGAGAAGCAGCCTCGTCGGCATTGTGTGTGTGAGAGAGAGAGAGAGAGGGGGGGAGGCGAAACGCTAAAGGCAACTGTGCACCACACAGTAAAATTACTATTTATTTTATAATATAATAATGGAAAATGCTTGAGATCTTATTTTTTGGAAACTCTCGTAACCCGCTTTAAATCTCAACCATTGATATATGTGTGAGACTCATTCATATATATGTGGGGCCCACACCATCAATGAGTTTTGGTATTTTGATAAGTTGGGGTTACTTTGATAATTTTGGGAAAACCCTAGTTGTTTAAATTAATTAATTTGTGTAATTAATTTAAGGGGATTGGGGAATTTGGTTAAATTCATGAAATTGGGAAATTTATTGATTAAATGGTGTAGTTGGATAATGTAAATCACTCGCCTATTGAATTGTTGGTATATTTATTTCCAAGTTTAGAAATAACTGTTTTGGGCTATCGGTGGAGGATAGTCGTGATTGTTGTAGACATTGCATGTGGATTAGGAATAACTGAAACTAATCATATTGGTTAAGTCATTAATTTTGACTGTGGCATTGATACAGAAAATACGTGTGTTGATTGAGCATTGCATTTGCATACATTGTTTTGTGTGTGGGAGGAGATGGGGGATGTACTCCACGGTTTAGGGGAAGATAGGGGATGGACCTCTAAACCGGATTTTGTTTGGGAGGAGATAGGGGATGGACTCCATTAGCATCACTTTTATGTGTGCTTATTTATATTGAAGTGTTTTATTGATACAGCACTAAAATGTGTATCAAACTGAAAGTATGAAGTGTTTTGATTTGAGCCTGAGTTTCAATTGTTTGTTGACATTGGAAGAATGTGAATGTGATATCTATATAGTTCACTGTTGTAAGTTTGGCCAGGTTCTGAGCCATATTGATAATGTTGGAAAGTAAAACGTGTTTTAGACATTAGTGTCATGAGACTGTTTGATGATGTAATTGATTATCTTGGTTAACCATCTATTAAATACTAATGCTTTATTCAATGCTTATATTTGGTTTAGTATATTTCTACTGGGCTGTGGCTCACCCTTTATGGGAACATCATTTTCAGGTCCAGGTGATAAGCTACCTCCCAGGACTTAGCTTGGAAGGATTTGGATTTTGAAGACTATTTTTAGTTGTTTGTTTTTATTTGATAAATAATCAAGCCTAGGGCTTTATTTGTATTTGAGTTAGAACTCATATTTTGTGTCCAAGTGTTGGCTTGGAAAGATGTAAGCCCATAGGGCATTTAATTTGATGTTATATGTAATGTTTTTATTTAATAATACTCTGATGAATGAATTAATAAATTGTTTTCTTTAAATAATGCATGTTGATGATATACATATAATGGGTTTATGTAGCGGGCGTTACAGCAGTGACGGAGGAGCGGCGGTGAGGGAGAGAGAGCAACAGCCCCGTCGTGTGTGTGTGTGTGTGAGAAAGAAAGAGAGAGAAGGGAAGACGAAACAGTAAACGGTAAAGGCGGTAAGAGAGGATCGGTGGTGACGGAGGATCACTGGTGAGGGAGGTGCGGCGGTGAGAGAAAGAGAGAGAGGAAGACCAAACCAGTGGCGAGCGAGAGAGAGAGAGGAGCGGAGCAGAGTAGCGCCGTGTGTGAGTGAGTGTGTGAGGCTGAGTGTGTGTGTGTCAAACCCTAAACAAACACAAGCATATATATACCCAGGGGCTAAACGGTAATTTTACCTGGGGGACTAAACGGTACGGGGCGGGGTCGGGGCTTAAACATCTATCCCCGTCCTCGACCCAGATATCATCGGGGATGAACTTTTGAATACCATCCCCGGCCCGTCGAGGATATTTTTTGATGAATAACCACTGAATTTGAGGTGGGGGGTCGGGTTCAAATTGCCATCCCTATCTATGTATGTTTATTCGCCCGGAGTGGTTCAATCCGGTCTAATATGTATTTTTTTCTTGGGTTACGTGGTAAGAGATCCGATCCAACTTACGTCCATCTCAATTAATTCTTTTTCCGAATTCATGTTGGGATTAGAAAATTCATAAAAAATTATTTTCACATAGTTTGGTTCTAAGAGTTAATTCCAAGTAATTATAGCCTTCGTTTGGGAAGTGGGCTGGCTTTTTGGCTTTTTTGGCTATTTTAGCTTGGGCTAAAAAACTTGATTTAGGAAGGGCTTTTTGGCTTTTTGACTTTTTTGACTTTTTTTATGAGAGAAGAGTGTAATGATTATGGGTTGATGTGATGTTTTGTTTGTTGTGGCTAAAATAGCCTATTTTGTCTTTTATGACTAAAATAGCCACAAAAGCTCTTGCCAAACGGAGCCATGTGGACAGTATACCTACCAATTTGGTTAGGTCCCTGCAATCTAATTTTTATTAAAGCTAAAATATCTGAGAAAAATATATATATTAAAACTTTTTTTGAAAACCTTAGATTTTAATTAAAAAGTAATTACAAGTTATCAAATAATTTTTTTTTTTTTTTACTTTTATGCACATTCTTCTTAAAAATTAAAAAAACATTACTAGAAAACTCAATTCCCAAACACCTCCAATGTAATAATAACACCACATAACTTCAAATCAAGATTGCTAGAGTTGTGGGATGGCAGGCCCCTAAACTTCTTTAAATTAGTTAATTAATCCTGTATTTATAAATTATTTTATATTACACATAGAATGACTTCCTAAATTTTTAAAAATTTCTCTATTAATAGCTCCTATACTGCATAAGTATTCTTACAATGCATATAAGATGGCTCTAAACTGTTTGTTACGGTTACATTACAACAAAAATGAAAGTGTAAATTAAAATTGTTCAAATTGAAATTACAAAAACTAAAATAAAAAAAAGACATGTAATTTACCCGTTATTTTTTATTATTAAATTATCATAATTCTACACCTATTTAATCATTATTTCTTCTATTAAATTCAAGTGCTCCCATTATTGTTATAGTGATAACATTACATGATTTTTTCATTTTACATTTATATCAGTAGCAATGACAATATGTGAGTAATAGTATGGGTCAAAGACCCTACTCCACTCCCATCTCACCCCCCTGGTCTATTTAGCCTTACAAGTTGACATTTTTCGCATTAAATTCCAATAATTTAGTTTTATATGTAGCCCAATTGAGTAGAGAGAGAACGAAAATGAAAAATAGAAATATATATAAAAAAAATAAAAAAAGATTACATCATAAACTGCAAGTTCTAACAAATATTTGAGAGAGACAGAGATCTGAAAATGTTTACAGGCATTGAAATGCATTGCACAAGGGAAAGAAAAAAAAGGGATTTACACACAGGTATAAAGATTACATACAAGAAAGGATTTACCAACTAAAAACACTTAACGTGCAAACACCAAGACCTAAGATGTAAATCTTGATGGATCGAAAGAATTTTGGGTTTTCGAGACTCCATTTTCATGTGAATTACAGGGAAGCGGCTCATAAAAAAATAAATACATAAAACAGAGAAAATGATGGTTCTGATTACTTTTGACTTGCTTATGTATTTTTCGTGGGCAAGAAATAATGAGCAATACTAGACCCACGTTTTCCAATATTAGCTACCCACTTCTGAGGTCAGAGCCACACTTGCAACTCTTCCTGGATTTCAGGTGGTAACTCATTAACCACAATAGGGTCAATCTCATCAATCTTGTAATCCCACGCATCCCTTCTCATATCATCTCGATCTAAAATTGACATGCCACTATGTGTTCCCGTCTGTGTAAGCAAGTTCTTTTTGCGTAGCTCAGCTTCAATCAGTTCAGAACTGCCAATTATTGACTGAAAGCCTGCAGCAAAATCAAACATGAGAGAGAGACAGAGAGACAGAGAGAGACTTGGCATGAATTTGGATTTAAAGGTAGATCTAAGAATTACTTGAGGATGAAGATGCTTTAGTTTCATCAATAGTTCTAACATGTTCTTGCTTGGGGGAAGAGGAAGAGTTGTTGCAACTCTGAAAAAATCTCAAGATTGTAGATGATCCCTGCCATAAGGGGTAGTTTAGAAAATGAATCATAGGTAACAAGGATAAGTCACAAATTGTCGCTGAGGATTTTTTTATTTTTTATTTTTTCATTTGTGAACAGATAAACACAGATCTTAATAGAAGAAAACAAATAAAACTGTGAAACAAAAAGGGAAGATTTTATTCAAACCTTGTGTTTCACCATCTTTCTTTTGTGATCATGTGGTCTCATATCATGCATTAAATTCTTGATCCCAATTTCCTTCTTAGGGAATTCTGTGTGTGGCTCAATTGGATTCAGTGCCAAACAACTTTCAGTCCCTGTGAGGTGGGTTTTAAAAAATGAACATGCCAAACAGCTGCATTTATTTTTTTAGTTTAAACAGAACTGACGGGAATCTTTTAATCCAACATATTTAATTCAAATTAGTCTAAGTTATTTAAACAATTTGAAGAGATAGGATTTACGAGGAAACCCAAACCCAGGAAAAAACCACAGACGCAAACAACTACTAGTAATCAATATCGAGTACAAGTTTCACCAAAATCAGACACAGATCCTACTTATTAAACCCCAAGGGTAGTTTCATAGTCCAATCTGCTTCCATGTATGTCCAATTTGACTTGTACCTTCAAGTCTCCACTAGTCACGTCAATCTAAACGAAGGCAATCAGTTACATAAGTCGATCAATGTACGCGCCTTAGATCCATATAAATGCAGAGCTACCCAAGGAACCAATTCCAACACGTACTCACAAGTTTTAGATTCAACACAAAGATCTCCAAGACCTTTGCACACTCAAAAATCACTAAAAAACTTGAAGAAGGAATATGGACTATATGAAAAGCTCTCTCAAGTTTAGGGATGGCAATTTGAACCCGGCCCGACGGGGACCCGACCCCCCGACCCCGATTAGAATGGTTTTTCCCCGAAAAATATCCCCGTGGGGACGGGGATGGTATTTAAAATTAAATCCCCGATCAATTTCGGGCCGGGGACGGTGATAAATTTTCCATCCCCGGCCCCGCCCCGCAACTTCCCCGAAACTTCCCCGTATGTGCATGTGTCCATATTATATTATATTTATCTATATAATATTATTATATGTGTGTTTGGCTGATTGTTTAGGATACATGATATTATATTATATTTATAATATGAGATATATGTTATTTTATGTTATATCTGATGCCTTTCTCACCCATTCAATCCATTTCACTTCATCTCTGAGTCTCAACCTCAGCCCCTCTCTCTCTCTCTACACAGGTGGTCTCACGAGGCTCAACCTCAGCGTCTCTCCCTCTCTCTCTACGCAGGTGGTCTCACGGCATCGGCGACGAGGGAGCTCCTCTCATCACCGTCGATCGTCGCGGTCCTTCCCCCATAGCCGTTGTCCCTCCTCTCCATCACCGCCATCTCTCCACCGTCGCCGATTACAGTCGTCTCTCTCTCTCTCTGAATGTGTTAATTTTTTTTTTTTTTTTAGATTTGTTTCGATCTATTGTATATATGTTAAATCTAGTATTGAATATGTATTTGGGCTTAGATCGGTTGAATATAGCGATATATATGTTGATATATATGTTGAATATAGCTCAGATCTCTCCCTGATTCTTGTTGTTGTTGATATATATGTTGATGTATGATGAAGAGATATGTTATTGAATGTGTTTTTTTTTTTTTTTTTTTTTTTTTTGGGGAATTTTTGGGGGGGGGGAAACCCCCCCCCCCTTGGGGGGGGGGGGGGGGTGAAATTTTTTCCCCAAATTATTTTTTTTTTTTTTTTTTTTTTGTGTGAGACTCCCCGTCGGGGATCGGGGCCGGGGACGGAGAAATTCGTACCTTCGGGGATCGGGGACGGGGAGTGTGATCCCCGGCCCCGCCCCGTTGCCATTCCTACTCAAGTTCTCCCAATGATCAATGAATACTCAACTCTTTGTTACCCTAACAAACAAGTCAAGGCATGTATATATAGAAAGAAAAAAAAAATGAAAAACTAAGGGAACAAGTACTTAGAAGTTACCAAAACTCTGTTCCGCATATGCAAGGAAACACTTACAATATTGCCATACAAGTGGCATATATGTCCAAACAAAAGGCACTGCATTTAAATGAACCACCTTGTATTCGAACAGTGATCACTTTGGTATCCAGTTACATAGCATCAACTCGTTCTAGTTTGAACAGAAGACATTTGTGTTGAAATGCACAAAGCTCTGCTGTGATGTGCACATAATGTGACTATCCCGAAGCACAAGTCCAATAAGTCTATGGATTTTAAAAGTCTAACCAAATAACTAATCTAGCCAATAGTCCAAAACTAAACTAACTATGATCATAATCTCAATAAGAAACAAACCCAAAAGACTAACGTAGATAAAACTGACCACATGATATGCTAATGCAAATCCATGAGCTAGTAATACAAAAGGAAGATAAAACAAAAACAAAAGAAATTAACAACAAAGAAGGTAGAAAGAAAAGAATGATCGGATCAATGCCAAGGAGCAAGATCACTACCTGAGGATGACAATGCTGAAGTTTCTTGGATGAAAGCATCATGTGCTTGCTTGGACAAAGAACAAGATATCACATGGTCATCAGTGGATTGCATGGTTTCACATGTATCCTACAAAGACAAAACCATTTGCAAATAATACAATCAGATATGATGCATCAGAGCTACTGTTGAAGGTCATGCAGCTATAATGTCATGTGATCAAGTGAAACCAATTATTACTTCCACAGCTTACTGAAGTGGTGTGATGATATAAATAACAAGTTACACTGCTTTCTAACAGGTTAAGCTTCTAGAGCGATTGGTTGTTAAAACCTTAGACTGACAGGTGTAAAAGCATCGTAACTGCCTTAGCTTTCTTGTAACAATATATTGGTACCCATTAAAACAATTAATCAATAAACTAAATTTAAGCCAACATAAATGCAAACCTCTCTCGTAGATACTTCTCCCTTGTTTTCCTGTTGATCCAGACTTGGCATAGCATACCTAATCCTTGTTTCTTCCTCACGGAATTCTATGGGCAGTTCAGTTGTATGCAATCTGGATATCTTTCCTTTCCTGAAAGAATGCCATACTTTGCCAAAATTGCAAAACTAATGGTAAAACTAATGTAAAAAGAAACAAAAAGCAGCATATAGTATGAGAACAGTACCGGAGGGTGACAATGGTGCAGCCTCTGCGACAAATCTGTCATTCACTTGCCTAGACGAACAGTTGGACTGATCTTGGCCATGAAAGTATTTCATTATTGAACATGTCCCCTGTCAAAAGTATTCAAGAGCCAGTATTGAATATAATAATAAAAGAAGAACAAATTATGTTTCAATATTTAAATGAGTGGGAAACAATAAGGCACTACATGAACTGCAATATGCTCATCTCATGAAAGTTTTCATTAGAAGAATGGTCTTAGATCGCAGTATCAGTATCAGCCAGCACAATGGTTTTGAGAGTATCGAACAAATATGATTGGAGGAATATATTAAAGGACAATTTTGGAATCAATTGGATGAACTAATGCAAGAAATATCTGTTGGAAAGAAGATAATTATAGTTGGAGATTTCAACGGTAATGTAGAAAAAGATAACTAAGGGTATGAGAGAATACATGGTGGATATAGTTTTTGGACACCGAAATGAGGCTGGAGAAGAACACTAAATAACCTTTAAAAGTAGGTCAAATAAGAGTCAAATAGATGATTTTCTTGTAAGAAGAGCGTGTTGCTTAATATGTAAAGATTGCAAGGTTATTTCAAAGAGATTAATGCCTCAACATAGGCTATCATTATTAGAAATATACAATAAAGGGCAATATCAAACCAGGAAAGATATTAAAAACCCAAGAACTAAATGGTGAAATCTAAAAGGTGAGAAAGCATTAGTATATAAGGACAAAATATTTACCCCATCCATCAATCAAAACCAAACTGATCATCCCCAATTTTTAAATTATTGAGCCAACTGAACTAAGTCCCATACAGAATGAAACCAAACTAACCAATTTAAGTCTGCTTGGTCCAATTCTTAAGTTAAAACTGTTCAAAGTTGCATAGCCTATGTCATACCAATCCTAGCACCACTTGTCACTAACCCAACTTCAATTCCTGTCAGCAAAAGCTCACTTAAGCAATGCTCATTGGACATCCACAAAAGTACAGAGCAAATGTGATGCAACAGTAAGAAGGTGTCAATAGTTTTATCAAGGTCTCTGAAGCTTCTTCTCTTTTTTTTTGTTGATAAATAAGGTCTCTGAAGCTTCTTTAACCCAGGTTAAATAGTATGATCCTTGCAGAGTTGTTAGGTTTTGGCTTAAAAACATCATAACATGTTAATGGCAAGGCAAACTCCTACTACTAAAAATTACATATCCAAACAAGTATAAATATGTTGTTCAAAAATGGACATTGGATGATAATAAAATATGAGACAACAAAAAAATTTGAACTTACAGATGGAATAGCAACTATTTTGCTGACCGTAACAGAAAGAGAAGTTATTCGCCATCCATTGTAGTGACTTCCCTGAGCCTTGATTCTGTGTGAGCCAAGGTATTCACGTAACCCCACTTGAAATAGGTTCAGGGCATCTTCTTTGATCTTGGCAGAGCCATACCTCAATGGACATGACTTGGAAGGAAAATTTTTCTGCAACTCAGAATCACTGGACTGCATGATGACATAATCAACAGAACTAGGTGTTGGAGTCGAGGTATTCAAAATATTTGCAAACATTTGGATTTCCCAGAGATGGAAAGCTTATCTAAGATGTGAAAGAGAGAATCAAAAGAAAAAGTAACTACCTTGAAAGCTCTGGCATGCAAAGTGAGTGTATGTGCAATTCGCTTATTCTGCTCCAGGTCAGAATGAAGACGTTCACTCAGTTCTTCACAAAGTTCATTAAGCCAGTGTTCAACCTGAAACAGAGTAACAGACAGAGAATGACCAAACCATCATCATAAGATATTTTCAAAGAATTTTTTATGAATGAAGACATGGCATTGCTGGCACTTCGATATAAACAAATCAAATCCCAATAAAAGGTGATCACCAAGGCATAATTTTGGACATGCACATGCCACAGTTATTTTGAATAATAAAACTATGAAAAATAAACATTTTTTTACGAATAAAGATAAATATATATATAAAAAAAAGGCATCAAGAGGGTGCAGCCCGTATAAAAAACTACGAAAAATAAACATGATAGGCTAATGTAGAGTTCCGATACAGTACTTTACTTACCAAATAAAAACTAGCTTTTTGAATGTTTGATGGCACTTGCAACCTAAGAAAAGAACAACCTAAAATTGATTACTTTGTGGCCTCATATCATGAATAGCTAGTAGGTTAAGGATCTAAAAGGCATAGTAAATGTGCTAAGAGCGATGGATGGAGAAGGGCTAGTAAGTGGCCAGACTTTGAAGGTGATACGGATGTAGGATACCTTAAGAAAACTTGTAATAATGCTCCTACAATTAATGTTGTGGAGGGTTTAGGGCAAGAACTTACAAGGTTGAGGTTTTAGAGAGTGGAAGACAATGTCTAGGGTTTCTAGCTAGAAATGGGTGATAATCATAGTTGGTTTGCTTTTCAATGGTGCAGGTCACAGGAATTTCAACAAATAGGTGCTGAAAGGCTCTAGAGAGCAATAATTTTATGGGTTTTTGGAGTTAAATCAAAGGTTAAAGGGTAGGGGAAAAGGTTTGGAATGACTTGGGCTTCATTGAGTAGAGTTAGGTGGCTGAATTGTGACTGTTATAGGACCATGAAAAGAGAAGTTATCACAAACAAACAAAAATCAGAGATCTGCAAAGTTATCTATGTCCCTAGTGGATCTCACCTTGAAACTAAGCCCCCCTTTTTCCTTCCAAGTTTCTCTCTGTTTAAATTTCCTTTTTCTCGGTCCTCTCCTTGTTTGCATCACTTTAACTTTGATAAACTAGATAAAATGGTTAAAAAGCCACATCTAGCATCAATCCCAAGTCTAAACTGACCACATCAAGTCAACATAAGAGAACCACAATATCATCAAGAAACTGCAGTGCTATGTGAATTAATTCAGAGAAAGGAAAATGAATTAATGAAGAAACTTCAATTACACAATTGATTATGTAGATTCACTAATACATTTAGATAAATATTAAAATGAATAAGAAGAACAGAAGCAGCATGATTCTGTAGAAAGTCTAATAGGCAACAAATACAAACTGAAGCAATCTTTTTCAAAGCCTGAGGGCCAGGAAATGTCTTTCCAGAACCATGACTTTTGGGAAGAAGGCGACCCTCTACCTCTTCCCCGCTAATTCCCCTGGCAATGTTCCGTAACCAAGTTCTGAATTACAAGAAAAAGATGGAATCAGAAGTAACATCCAAACAAGCATCTAGCACAAAACCATCATCCTTTAGAGTTCAAATAAACCTTATATGCTAAACAATAATCCTATAAGAGTTTTGACCACGTCAAAGAAAGGTCGCATAAAATTGTGCGGTCAAATCCTGTCATGATCAGTGGGCCAAAACTTAAAAGGAAAAATGTATAGCTACCGTTATCATTTTGAAATCTAGGAATAATCGCACTTAGGAAAATGAAACTCAGGAAAAATGGATAAATCCAATGAAAATTTTGGAAAGAGAGGTGACATGAACTGGCCAAAATTTGGCCAAGATTTGAAAGAAGTTAAAAAGAAGAATCAAACCGGGAAAGCAACCATATCAGTTAAAGTGGAGTTGGACTAATTTAGAATTATTTAAAGGGCAAGATAATAGTGATTTTTTTTGAAAAATCTAGTTCGATTTGTTCAAATGAATTTTGCTAACAATCTGGGAACTGCAAACATTCTAACATTGTGCTTAGAGATAGATAAGGACCCGGTATTTACGCCATAACGTTCTTGTAGCTTCTCTTCTGAGAACTGCAATAGCTCCCCAACAGTATTCACACCAAGGTCAATTTGTAAGGAACTCCCAAGCTTTCCCCAAGCTGCTTCCTGCAAATAAATTTTGCGTCAAAGCATATTCACTACTGCATTGGTTTTTAGGAGGCCGTACTAGCTCGCCACTTCATCCACTGTAAAAAGAAATGCTAAAAATACTACTAAAACAAAGAGAAAATGTAATTATTTCTTTAACAAATAAAAAGAAATAGGGTAAATTACACCGACCTCCCCTTAGGTTTACCTTAATTACAGGGACCTCCTCTGCAGTTTCAAAAATTACACAGACCTCCCTTCCTTTTGAAATTAATATACAGATACCCCCTTCCCGTCAAAAGAGCATTAACGACGTTAACTTGATAGTGAAATTAACTATAATACCCTTCAACCCATTGTCTTCCCCAAAGACCTAACCCACTCTGTATCATCAGCATCTTCTTCCCTCTACTATCCATTTCTGCCATTGTCTTCCTCACACTCTCTTCCCAAACCTCTCTAATCAAAAACCCAAAACCCAAACCAACAATAACCCGATCAAACAGACACTGTTATTTCGACAATTGATCAAAACCACTGTTATTTTGACAATTCAAGTGTTTAAGCAAGGAATCAAGGGTTCAAGACACACACTGTTATTTCGAAAATTGATCAAACACAGATAATTTGGCACACACACTCTCAATCAAACACAGATAACCCAATCAAACACACAATCTCTTCCCAAATTGGCAGTGCATACATAGATAATTCGAGCTCGTCTCTAAGTGTGGTTTTGATTGATTGAGAGATTGCATCCCACTGTTATTTAGTCGCCTCCACCGATGATCAAATCCATGGCTCTCTCTCTCTCGCTCTGTGTTTACTCAATCATAATTGTTCTGGCTTGGCAAGAACATGTCCAACCCAAGTCAAATCAAGTGCAAAGGTTCAAGACTATAACAAATTGAGATTGAAGTTCCAATTGACATGAGATCTGCTCATAATCCAATTGAGAACTCCGCCGCCCTCTCGCCTCCTTGAGCCTCACATCTTCTCCTCATCGCATCGCCACCATCGCACTCAACCACCACTGCGATCTCTCTATTTTTCTCTCACTCTTTCTGCAACTGCTACAATTGCCATGATCGTTATCGCGATCTGCCATCATTATAACCCTCACGATCAGATCGCGACCACTACGACACCAAGCTCCTCAGATCTAAGGTTTATGGTGGTGGTGGCGGAGATGGATGAGCAGAGAGAGAGAGAGAGAGAGAGAGAGAGAGAAGAGTCTAATATGGTGGTGGTGGCATTGGGCGGAGGTTTTGGAAGGGGAGGCATCGGGGCAGTAGAGGACGACAGGGGGAGAGAGGCAAAATGCAAAGAGAGAGAGAGTGAGAGGGAAGAGAGAGAGAGTGAGTACAGTGATATATATAAGATATGTATGTTTATATATATATATATATGGGCATATATATATGTATGGGGGAGGTAAGGGCAGTATTGAAATTTGAATAATAATTTTGGATGAAATCAGCTAAATCTATTTGAATTTGGACGAGTGGGTAACAGAAGGGGGTATCTATATATTAGTTTCAAAGGTAATGGAGGTCTATGTAATTTTTGAAACTGCAGGGGAGGTCAGGGCAATTTACCCAAAGAAATAAGTAATATGACAACAATACATAGCATTTAACAGAAAATTGAAGTTTAAGAATTGAAATAACAAGTAATATTACTATCTAAAGCAAAATCTTACATTTTCTTTATAGGTAAATGTTCAAGCAATCCTTTAACAAATGTGAAGGGCACAACAGTTTGTTGTGCAGGTTTATTCATACCACTTTCGAGTTTGGCCAGCATCTGCAAATGAAGATAGTTGCCCTTCCATAAGATGATGCAATATAAAAGACAAACAACGAAATTGCACACTGGATCCCACCTTGTTATGAGCAATTCCGGCAGAACATGTGAATTCAGTTTCCTTCAAAACTTGCCTCCTAAGTTCTGCAACAATAAGGGCCCCACAAGCTAACAACTTATCAAGGTGATCGGCATCACTCCTGTGGAGACACTCCCTCACATTGTCTTTGTGATCACTTCCATCCTAGATCCAACACCAATATTAGAATAGCAGCTGTTGGAAATGCAAAATGAACAGGCATGGAATTAAGTCATTCAAGAAAAGAACTTCTTCAATTATTCCCTCACCAATTAGTTTCTTGGTAGAGAGATTTACATTAATTATTTGAAAATATTCTGATACAATAGAATCTAATCCAATGTGATTACATGCTACAAATTAATTATATGAAAATATTGATTATCTGTTATCTCAAATTTTCAGATGAAAGGTTCAATAAGTCATCGACCATTTGGTATACATTCCTCAACAAAGAACAATTCTAACATATGTATAGCAATAGCCAAAATTGAAATCCAATAACATTGCATATACTTTATAAACCAATGCAATGTTTCTTTGATTATCTAATTAATATTACAAAAAAATATAAAATAAAATTCCCGGATTTGTAACGTACTAAATAGCATGAAAATCACCAACCTAGAACGCCAAAAGAACTTCAACTGCCAGATAAAGCCTATCATATGCTTAAAACTTAAAAGATTGAACCTTCTTGAACTTTCAACCCGCAAATATAGTACTCATTCAACATCAAATGACAATTCCACGTCATACTCCAACTTAAATGTCCCAGAGAAAGCCTACCAAATTTTTTTTTGGTGTATGTGTGCTCCTTGACTATAAAAAATAAAAAATAAAAAAATGAAGAAGTGAAAAACCAAAATTTGTCAAATTATTTAAATTTCACTTTTGTGTTTTCTAAGTTATTTCCGAACTATTGAGTTTTATGCATAAAAACATATAAAAACCTCAAAAATAGTAGAACATTCAAATGATATTAATATCTTTGCGATTTGGTGGGCCAAAGGGAGCAAATTGCAGACAATTTAGAAGAATTTCTTTATCAAACATCATATCTTGCATTTCTGTTGACTTGCCCTGAAATACATTACTTAAACACGATATAATGATTAATATCTTTAACATCAACAGTTTCAAAATCTTCTCAAACTCTGAACATTCATGTTCTGAGCAGTGTTGTTTGTCAAGGAAGCCCCATTAATTACCTCATTAAGATTCAAGATATGAGATTTTAGAGCTTCTTCATCAATTTTTTCCAAGCTCTCTGGAGGAGTTTCTGCTAACATTGCTTCAGCAGCATCAGTGAGATCAAGATACACTTCATCAATTGAAGCACGCTCACATCTACCCTTCCTTGCAAGAATAGAAACCACCTGCAAGTTTAAGCTTACTCGACCATGAGTTCCTTTTCAAAGTGAATTTCTACATATAACAATCTTAGAACTGTGAAGATCGCCTATGAATTCTTTAAACCTCTGAACCCGCATTTCGGTATATGGTCAAGTCAGCTTTACCACGAGCAACTGGGACTTGGACAAGTTGGATTTGTGGGCAAACTTGCTTCGCTTCATCACCTCGCATTGAACTTAAAAAACCCACATAATAGATTTCACCAGTCCAAGAAGATCCAGTCATACATGAAGTACTCAGAAAATATAAGTAACGAATACTTACCGCTTCACCCCATATTTACGGGCCTCATAGCTGACAGCAAGCAAACCCCCACCTTTCCAGGAGTTGTACTGTACCACAGCAGTGGGCTGACCCCTTAAATAGGGCTGTTTACGTTGCTCCACTACATAGGCAAAACAAATACCAATTAGCCTGACCAAATCAAGGATCCCATATCACAACATATGAAAGTCCACAACGAAAATTATGTTATTCTCTCTTTTGGTGAGCCTTTGGCCATCATTATTTAAAGAAAACTGAAAACAATGAAATGGGAGCTCTGCCAGAATGGTGTTCTTGCACTCAACTGCAGTGTGACGTGCAAACAAAAATAGGGAAAACATATGATAATTGGCAAGGGTTTGCAAAATCATATTTGATTTCAGTTAATGATAAAAAGATTGTCTCTTCATCTAAACTAAACTATATTCCATATATGATGTAACAAAACCGAAGTCAATTTCTATTTGATATGCATTTTTAACCCACACGTATTATTTACAATTAAAATCATGATGCAAAATTGGGTTTTATGGTTTCAAATGTTACATGCTTGTGAAATTGCTTAATTGGATTATAATGCAAGAGTTTGATAATGAATAACAGCGATCAGTTAAATAATAATTTGAAGAAATGAACAAAAATAGCATCATGAACTGCACAGCCTGCTCCGAAGCATACATGCTTTAGTTCCACAAAATGTTTGGTTTTCTGAAATGGAATGATCATTCCATCAAAATATCCATTTCCATGCATGTTTGGTTGACCAAAAAAAAATAAAAAATTACACTACAAATAGAATCTGTTAGATAATGTCTCAATGGGACCACATAATTAAATGTGGTGTTATCATTTATAAGAAGCCTACAATTTAAGTGATTCAATTTAGTTAATAGGCTTAAGGGTATATGTGTTATGGACCTAATGTGTAGATACTAGCTAGTTGTATAATTTCTATTTCTATGAGGGGCAGAAATAGAAATTAAAACATAATGGTTAAAGTTGGTTTTCATTCCTTTTGAACTTCCACAACCTTTCAGCTTTGAAAACCAGTAAATAGAAATCAAAACCAACAATGGTTAAAGTTGGTTTTCATTCCTTTTGAACTTCCACAACCTTTCAGTATGTTTGTAACCCAATAAATGTAGAAAATCAAAGGGAAAATGTTGGGTTTCGCCATTGAATTCGTTGAAACAGAACACTTCATTCTAAGTGCCCTAAAAACCCCGACAATTAATTTAAACAGAGAGAGAGAGAGAGAGAGAGAGAGAGAGGAAACCTTGAACGTAGAAACAGTCCATGTCGAGGTGAGCGATGACCCTTGCACCGGATGATTCGAGTCGTGCCACTGGCATCTTCTCTCACTCTCTCTCTCTCCCTCCCTCCAATTTCAGGTGATACAATCAATGTGAGACAAGAAGGAAAGGCATGACATTTTCTCTGTTTTTTTTTTTTTTTTTTTTGGAATTTTCAGAATTTATTTTGATTTTTTAAATTTAAATTGGTAAAAATAAATAAATACTCATTATTTTTATATAATTTTTTTAATAAGAATGATTTTTAAAATATTTAAAATATGATTTTTAGTGTTTCTTTTTTTTAGATATAAAAAAAATAAGTTCTTAGAATTAGTATTAGCAATCGTAGAAAAAAAAATGACAAATTACAAACGCAATCCATAAGGTTTATTTAAATTATAAATTATATTTGTGATTTTGAAAATTACATTATGTCTCTTAAGGTTTTTAATTTTATAACAAATAAGTACTTTTATTAATAATTTATCAAGTTAATTAACAATTTTTAATAATATTAAAATTTTATTTCAATTAATAATTTAAATAATTTTATTATTGTGTAGGTGAACAGTTAGAAATTTTATTTTTTTAATTAATTCTGTTAAATAAAAAATTCTGACAGTGAGGTATTTATAATTTTCTAAATCACATGGGGCAATTCGTATTTTAAGCAAATCTTAAGGGATGTATTTGTAATTTATCCTTAAAAAAAAAAAGAAGAAGAAGAGAAGATAATATATATATATAGATTTAAAAGTAAAAAATGTTCCCCTTTTTACTACTTTCGCACACATTTTTTCTCTTATGAGTACACTTACCATTTTAAAAACAAATATACACATATTTATCGGTAGTTCATGAATCGTTTAGATAAAAAGACGATGTTGTCATCTATTTTCTACTAAAATGCATATTATCTATGTTTATTTTAATATTTATCCAATATCTGTATTAGTTTTAATTACTTCAACCTTATTAAAAAAGAGATTAGTGTAATTATGTCATACTTGTGGGGTTAACTGTATTTTTTTCAAATCTCGAGAGAGGTGAGTGTAATTTACTCTAAAATTATGTTTGGTTTATGGATTCAAAAAAGAATTTAGAAAGAAAAAGAAAAACGGTGTGTGAAATATAAGTGACTTAGTTATATTTTACCTACCTTTTCTTTTTTTTTTTTTCTTTTTTTTCCTTCTATTTTCAAATCTCTACATATCCATGAATAAAACAAATTTTTATATGAACACCTCTCAATCACAAGAAAGTGAAAAAAATTTGTGAAGAAAGTTACAAATTTTTACAATGTTAGTGATAAATTTTGGTTAATTTATTTCAATCTAATAGCTGTAATGATGATTGGCATGCAGCTTATTTAATTAGTGATATTTTGTATTTTAGTTTTCTTAGGCCTAGTTTGGCATACCAGAAAAAATCTAAAAAGTCAAAAAATTACTAAAAAAATTAAAAAATTATCACTATTCACAAATTAAAAATACAAAAAAAATTAATTTACACAATATTTTAATACAAAAACCAACGAGTTGACAGGTACTGAATTTATATCAAAAAGTAGTCTGTCAAAGACCAAAAAAGAAAATTACATATATATATATTCATTAAGTTGGAGGGTAAGGTTGGGCCCATAAGGGCCTACCACGGGTCCTTTTTAAAAATCTGAACCGTTCAATGTGTAGAACTCGTCGAGTACTATATATGCCTATAAAGAATCACGTTGATCGGATATTGCTAACTACATGATCAAATTAGTTTTGTATAAAAAATGGATGGTGTTATAGTAGATGGTTGAAAAAAAAACTAATCCGATCAGATAGCTATTGATGTCCGATCAATGTGATTTTTTACAAGCATATAGTACTCGACGAGTTCTACACATTCAACGGTTTTGATTAACAAAACGGGACCCGTAGTGGGCCCTCACAGGCCAAACAACACCTTCAATTCAATGCCCGAAAAGCATGGAACCATCTCCTAGCCTATACATATCCCACGTTGTCCCTTAATTCATCCAACCGTACAACCTATTCTATCCCAATCTTATCCTATACACTAATTTATTCAATTTTAAAAAGTCAAAAAGTTATCCTAAACAATCATTTTTCTCCCTCAACTTTTTAATCTAAAAAGTCAAAAAATACACTTATTTAAGACACCCCAAACAACCCCTTAATATTATCAAGCCAAATCATCACCATAAATAAATAAAATAAACATCTCGATTTTTTATATAATTAAAAAAAATTATTCTCAAAATATTTACCTTTTTTTTTCATCTAACAAAAAAAAATCAAAAAATTACTAAAAAAAATTAATTCTTAAATGAGGTCCTAAGCTCCTTGGAGTTTTGATATGTGGAGTCACCATTGGTATTTAGAGTTGGAAAATGTTTGGTGGCCCAAATTTCTGTGGCTCGAATGGCTCGAATGTGTCAAAACGACGTTGTTTTACATCCAAAATGACGTCGTTTTTGGTGTTTCGAGCCATTCGAGCCATATTTTTTCGTGCCACCTATCATTGTTGTTTAGAGTTAGGCTACGTCCCATTATGAAGAATTTTGTGTGAAAATTTTGTTCAAAAGAAAAAGGTACTAAAGCGAAGTAAAGTAAAAGAAAAGTGTATTGTTGAGATTTTTGTAAAATCTTGTATATATTTTTTTGGTAAGATATTCCTAAGATTGAGCCTAAGAATCTGTCGGAACTTCCTTTTTTAAGAATTTGCTTTCCTTTCCCTGGTGTACCCCTTGTGGGATGAATTGTTTTAGTCTCAGCTCCCAGATGAGAAGAAGGAAACCCAAAGAACTTTCTATTTTTTTAATTTCTTCACTGGGCTTGTGAAAGTCGTGGAGTGCATAAGCCCATGACAAGAGAGGCAACTGAACGGAAGACTCTTCCCATGGTGGAGTCCCCATTGACTCTATTTATTATTATGGTAAATTGGTGTATCAAGATGTCAATTTGAGATCCTATTTTTGGTAAGATATGTTTTAAAAAAAACTTGTCCTGATGAAAAAGTAATTGGGTTATGTATCTGTTAGTAGACAGTTTTTAAGTAATTGATTTGTCCAATTTAATCTAGATTGAAAACTTAGGCCAAAGAATATGTAAAATATTGTTTGCTTTTTAGCACATTAAAAATTCAGTACAAGTTAAAAAATTACTCGCATAATGTCTAGAAAAATGAAGCATAACTTGATTTTTAAGCAAAAATTCTCAAAATCATTGAAAGACAAAGCACGTCAACAGAAGAATTGGCCCAAACAGATAATCCAAGAAAGCTGCAAATAAACCATAAAGGGTTTCAATACATGAATAAGAAAAGTTCACTGCTTCTAACATAAAAATAACAATTGTATCAGATCAACACAACACAACACATCATGTCTTTGTAAGATCTCAAACTAGTCCAGAAACATAGGTCTGAATCAAGATAACAGTAATTCATGCCGCCTCCGCGGTGGGTTGGGTCAACCCAAAGCTCACCAACAACTTACTAAGAGATTCGGGAGAGCTAACCTGGTACTTCACTTTCCCCGAAGAGAGGAAAACCTTAGCCAGTTCAAGCTTATCCGAAGTAAGACTGGTGTTGTCCATAGTCTTACTGAGCACCTTTAGCACAAGATGTACCGCCTCTTCTCTTGTGATACCATCCTTGTAATCCTGCTTAAGCATCGACTGCGCAGCCTGGCTGTTAGTATCGATTGCCGCAGCCTTCCAACCACCATAATTTCCACTCGGGTCGCTCATGTAAAGCTGAAACCCGTAGTTCTTATCCCATCCCGCAAACAAAAATGATACACCAAATGGTAGAAGCCCATCGAATTGTGTGTATCCTTGTTTGGTGTCACATAGAGATTGAACCAGTTGTTCAACTGGCATTGGTTCTTGGTAAGCATACGTGTAGCGCTGAGCTTGGACCTGGGCTGGATGTTGGCGTCGGACATGATTCCAGCCACGACACATGCAATATGGTCATCAATCTTGTACATTTTCTCGGTGGATGTTGAGGTCTGTAGGAGTTTGGAAGTGACTTTCTTTTCTCCAACCAGTACGACCCCATCTTTTGATAGTAGCCCTATGGCAGTCCCAGCATTTCCAATTGCTTCCATTGCATATTCAACCTGGTACAGACGACCTTCTGGAGAGAAGATTGTTGTACGGCTGTCATACCTTCGAGGCATCTAACATATAATACAAGAGTGGAATCTCAATAGATTAGTCAGACAGAAAAAAAAAATGGTGTCATTGAAGATTTATTTTATAGATGCAGGATAATATGGATTCCATGTACTGAATTCCATAGCAACCAAGCAGAAATGAAGGATGGGAAGAACTATCATTTAAAATGTTTTGAGAGTGTATCTAATATATTCTTTTCTTTATGTTGAGAGTGCCCTTTTCTAGAGAAAATATTAGATTATCCTCTTTCAATGGAAAATGAAAATGCTTAATAAGACTATTGTATTGACCATTGAAAGTAACTAAGTTTAAATTAAAGGAGGGCCTATTTGATCAAGCTGAAATTTTTTAACATTGAATTTCTAGTTCTGAAATACTAAAAGTAATGAATTTTTTGATTTGAAAATTTTAAGATAAATGTCAGTTTGGAAGTTGCAAAATTTTGCAAAACATGACTACAAACATTATACTTATCAGAATTCATGGAAGTTATGTGACTATATCTTCCAGAGACCAATATCGCTCACAACCTTATATGAAGTGACATATCAGGAACTGAGAGAAAAACCACTATCATATTTTAATACTCAGACACAATATGTATAAACCTACAGAATGACATAGAAGTTCAACTGCAAGTTCTAACGAATATATGAGTGCTAACTCCCAAACTCAGCAACTTTAGTCACCAGAATCACCCCGTCATCAAAATTATGATAAACAATTAGACAATGTTTTATTGTTTCCTTTGGGTGCAAAACAATTTACTAGGCATTCCACTATGGGGGATCAAAACCCTATATCACCTTTTCCCAACAAACTATGATGCACGGACACAAGACACGGCATAGACACAGACACAACACGGACACAGAAATTTTCAAAAAATGGAGGATATGACACGCTGGGGACACATTTAATATATATAATTTTATTTATTTATTA